GAGGAACTGCTGCCACTGGGCTTCCCACTGGGCAAGGGAGAGGGGACCCTCCCCGGCTTGCTGATTCTTGGGTTCCCCAAGTCTCCTTTGCGGGAATTCTCCAGGACTCCCAGCCTGCAGGGCGTGAGGGGCTCTTTTTCTCGCCTCTGATATTTCCCCAATTTTGGGACCGATGGGAGTGCCTTTCTCCATCTCTGGCTTTGAGTAATCACTCAGAGTTGGTTCTGCAGGACTGAGTACTCTTGAATATGTTATCCTCTTCCACACTGAGCTTCCACACTGAGCTTCTCCCTGCAGAAAAGACAGGATATAAGAAAGACAGAGATCACGTGAGTTTTCTTCCCGTAGACAGAAAATATATGCAAAAAGGTATCAATATGCTTTCATATGTGTCTTTTTTATTAAATGCATAAATCTATATACTAATAGCCAATGCATGCGGATATTTAAGTCCGCACATCGGGGGCACCTAGGAGGCAAAGAGAATTTTCTGCACATTTGGGGCAATCCCCAGAAGTGCAGAAAAATCTGAAATCTATAAAAAACTATAGGGGGGATACTTAAATCCCCCCAAAAGTAAAAGAGCATTCCCTGTGCATGCGGAGAGAACGCTCTGAGAACTGCCTCGCTGCTGCCCGCCACGGGGGGGGAGGGAGAAAGTTTGGCGGGCCTGACAGCTGGGAGCCGCACGGGCCTTGCCATTGGTGCCGGAGGGGTGGGGGAGAAGACTTGGCGGACCCAGCGGGAGCCGCACAGGCCTCGCTGCCGGTGCGGGGGGGTAGAAGGCTTGGGGGGCCCAGTGGAAGCCACGCAGGCGTCGCCATTGGTGCCGGGGGGCAGGGAGAAGGCTTAGTGGCCGTTGGTGCGGGGGGGGGAGCTTACCTGCGGCTGCTTCCTCCTCCTCCTCTGCGTAAAGCTCCCCCCCGAGTATTGGGGTCCCCCTTCTTGTTGTTTCTAATTATGAGTTTTCCAATTCCTCATTCGTCATAGAAATGTCCTTCTAAAAAATGCCTTCCACAGTCCTGAAATGTCAAGAAGACTGTTCTATCAGAGAGGAAATACCAGGGACACATGAAGGCTGCGGGTTCAATCCCCAGCATCTCCAGTTAAAGCAACCAGGTAGGAAGTGAGGTGAAGACCTCTGATAGAGAGTTGAAGGTGATGAACACTGGGACAAAAAAACCCAGCTTCAATTATAGGCTAATGGGGTCTGAACTTACTGAGACCGAGAAGGAAAAAGATCTTGGGGGTGGAGCACCTTCCCTGTGAGGAAAGGCAGAAGAGTCTGGGACTTTTCAGTTTAGAAAAGAGACACCTAAGGAGGGACATGATGGGGGCTTATAAAATGATGCATGGAATGGAGAGAGTTGACAAGGAGAACTTTTTCTCCCTCTCCCAAATTACTAGAACTTGAGGGCATTCAATGAAGCTGGTGGGCAGTAGGTTCAGGATGGCGTGCAGTCAAGGCCACAGCTTCTCTGGAGTCTATCCAAGTCTTTTGGTTGGTCTGGGAGGAGATGCCAAGGACAGAAGCAGGGATCTCCTCTACGCAAAGGATCAGATCTGTCGCTGAGCTATGGCCTCTCCCTCATCATAGAAACGCCTCCCTCCCCATCCATGTACCCAATGCCTCTCATGACCTCTGTAAGTCAACGCAAGGCACTCTGTTCATGCTCAGAGACTGGAGGCAGATGTTTCTTGAAGGAGGGATCAGGAGTCTCCTACTATGCAACCCTCCCCCCAAGCCATATGAATGATCTCCACGTTTTGTACACCTGAGCTGCACTTGCACACTTCCTCCTGCTCCGAAGCAATCCCATTTGCCATAACAAGGAAATATTATTTTGACCAGAGTAGTCAAGACAATCTCACCCCCTCCCCAGGGCTGCGGGTGGGGTTCTCTTCGAGGCCCCAGAGGTAGCTCAGAGACAGAGGTGGAAGGCACCCTCCTCTCTCTCTCTCTCTCGGGCTGGTGGGGTGGGGGCTCTCCGTAGAGCGGGCGCTATTCCCCCTTCCCCTCTAACAGAGGTTTCACCTGCAGAGATCAGGAAGGGAACCTCTTCCAGGCCCGGAGGGGGAAATCCGATCCCCTCCTGCTCCTTT